CGCCTCCTGCACATCCCCCACTGGGGATGTGCCCGCAACCCAGGTACATGCCCTTGACCGGAATCAAACCTGGGACCTTTCAGTCCTCAAGCCGACGCTCTATCCACTGAGCCAAACCGGTTTCGGCTGTGCTTTATTTTTTTGTTATTTATTTACCACAAGTAAAGGTCAGGAATTGTTATCTTTCTTTAAAATTTTTTTTACTGTTTCACTTCATTACTGCTGTGTATGTGCTTCATGTGAATGACGTAGGTGCTTATGTAGGTGGGTTCCGACTTACAGCGAAAATCGCGTTTAGGAACGGATCTCCGACGTAACCCAAGGACCTACTGTAACAGTAATGAGAGAGGAGACATATCTACAGATCCTATAGACATTAAAAAGATAAGGGAATATTATGAACAACTTTATAATAATAAATTTGATAAATTAGATTTACAGTTTTTGTTTTGTTTTTGATTAGTTAAATCTTTATTGTTCAGATTATTACATTTGTTCCTCTTTTTTCCCCCCCTAACTCCCCTCCACCCAGTTCCCACCCCACCCTCCTCCCTCACTCCCCATCCACTGTCCTCATCCATAGGTGCACGATTTTTGTCCAGTCTCTTCCCGCATCCCCCTCACCCCTTTCCCCCCCAAGAATAGCCAGTCCACTCCCTTTCTATGCCCCGATTCTATTATAATCACCAGTTCATTCTGTTCATCAGATTATTCACTTGATTTTCAGATTCACTTGTTGATAGATGTGTATTAGTTGTTCATAATTTGTATCTTTACCTTTTTCTTCTTCTTCCTCTTCTTAAAGGATACTTTTCAGCATTTCATATAATCCTGGTTTGGTGGTGATGAACTTCTTTAGCTTTTCCTTATCTGTGAAGCTCTTTATCTGACCTTCAATTCTGAATGATAGCTTTGCTGGATAAAGTAATCTTGGTTGTAGGTTCTTGGTATTCATCACTTTGAATATTTCTTGCCACTCCCTTCTGGCCTGCAAAGTTTCTGTTGAAAAATCAGCTGACATTCGTATGGGTACTCCCTTGTAGGTAACTGACTTTCTTTCTCTTGCTGCTTTTAAGATTCTCTCTTTGTCTTTTGCTCTTGGCATTTTAATTACGATGTGTCTTGGTGTGGTCCTCTTTGGATTCCTTTTGTTTGGGGTTCTCTGCGCTTCCTGGACTTGTAAGTCTATTTTTTTCACCAGGTAGGGGAAGTTTTCTGTCATTATTTCTTCAAATAGGTTTTCAATATCTTGCTCTCTCTCTTCTTCTGGCACCCCTATAATTCTGATGTTGGTACGCTTGAAGCTGTCCCAGAGGCTCCTTACACTATCTTCGTATTTTCGGATTCTTTTTTCATTTTGCTTTTCTGGTTGGGTGTTTTTTGCTTCTTCGTATTTCAAATCGTTGACTTGATTCTTGCAATCCTCTAGTCTGCTGTTGGAACTCTGTATAATATTCTTTATTTCAGTCAGTGTATGCTTAATTTCTAGTTGGTTCTTTATCACAACCTCGAGCCTCTCATTAGATTTCTTGTAGGTCTCATTAAGTTTATCAGCATTTTCTAGAAAATTCTTGAAAAACCTTAAAAGTGTGGTTTTGAACTCTATATCCAGTACTTTGCTTTCCTCCATTTCTGTCATTTGTGTCCTTTTTCTTTGTCTCTGCATTTTTTATGCTTCCCTGTGTTGATAAAGTGGTTTTCTGTGCTAAGTGTCCACTAGGGCCAGTGGTTCAGCCTCCCCAATTACCTGAGGAGGACACTCTTGGTGCACCCCCTTGTGGTCTTTGTGCACAGTCTTGTTGTAGTTAAGCCTTGATTGTTGTAGGTATCACTGGGAGGAATTGACCTCCAGGCCAATTGGCTGTAAGAATCAGCTGTGTCTGCAGTGGGAGAACTTCTGTGCTGGAGACACCCCACTGGGGCAAGACTTGCTTCAATGGGGCTTTGGTGCTCACTGGGTCTGCCCCCTGAGTGTGTCCTTTATGGTTCCATGGAGCTGCAAACTGGATGGTCCCACTCTGACCTCTGGGTACATTGGCTCCTGGATCTCTAGGGAGGTGCTAATCTAGCCTCTGCCTTTGGCTATCCAGCAAAAGCCTCCCTGCAGGGCTTGGGCGGGGTGGGTCCCACGGGATCAACAGGGCAGGGCTAGCAGTTATGGCTGCTCTCTGAGGCTCCGCTTCTCAATATCCTGGTAATCACTGCAAGCCCCTCGGAGAGAAAGCTGCCCTCGAGTTCCGACCGATGCCAAACAGTCCCGCTTCTCCCGTATGAGTCTGGGTCCTTAGAGACTCACCCAGAACTGGAGCTCAGAGCCTGAGACTCCCTCCTGATTGAAAACGACAACCGCGCCCTTAGCCGCCAGCCCGCTCCTCATGCACCTCCGCACCTTAGTATTTTACTTCCGCACTGCGCCTCCTCTGAGTCTCGGTATGCTTTTCTCTTTCCTTCTAGTTGTAGAATTTCCACTCAGCCAGCCTTCCTGTGGTTCTGGATGATGTCCGTTCCGTCTTTTAGTTGTATTTTTGAAGTGGTTGTTCGAGGCAGCAAACTCCAGTGTTTACCTATGCCACCATCTTGGTTTCTCCAGATTTACAGTTTTTAAAAATTGCTTTAGAAGCTATATGAGGAATGAATTTGAAGGAGTCAAGACTATAAACAGGGGGATGAGTTAGATTGATACAAAAGTCCACACCAGCAATGGAGAGGGCCTGAACTAAAGAAGTAGCACTTAGGATGGAGAAGAGGGAACATTTGAGAATGTTGATGATTAAGAGGAGGGGAAGTAGGAAAAAAAGAGAAGCGTTCCCTCTACTTTTTGCTTGTGTGACTAGGATCAGTGGTGGGCACACTGTGGCTCGTGAGCCACATGCAGCTCTTTGGCCCCTTGAATGTGGCTCTTCCTAAGCCTTAGGAGCACCCTAATTAAGTTAATAACAATGTACCTACCTATATAGTTTAAGTTTAAAAAATTTGGCTCTCAAAAGAAATTTCCATCATTATACTGTTGATATTTGGCTCTGTTGACTAATGAGTTTGCCGACCACTGGACTAGGTGATAGCATTAACTAGGAAAGGGAATAAGAGACAAGGAACAGGTTTGAATGAAGATAATGAGTTTAGCTTTGACCACAATGAGTTTGAAGTGCCCTATATGTAGTTAGATATAGCAAATCCAAGGACTGGATGGAGGTGGTGCTAGATCCTAGGGCCCAGTCTTGTGATCCATTGATCATTCCACTATGAGAACTGCCTTCCTGAAACAAACCCATAACATTTCTATGAAGTAGTCTATGTGACATTGATTTAAGAGATATGTTTTAGAAGAGATTTTGTTTTTAGAGCTCAGTTGCACAGGTGAAGGACACACCTTAACATACTTTAAAATCTCATAATTTCTGTTAATTACGTTTTTTGGATACATCATCTGTAACTTTTTTTTTCTTTTTACTTTTACTCTAGGTATAGTTAGTTATGCTTAGGGGTGACCTTTTGTGGTATATTTAATACCCCCTACATAAAAAATTCCTTCTCACTAAGGAATTGGAGAGTGCTTACTAAATATAGTATTCTGGAGTTTAATAACCAAGTCATGATTTTAGAGAAGTTAACATAGACCTTAGCTTTTGTCTCTCTCCATACAGAAAAATCTTGGTCCAATTATTAGACTGACTTTTGCAGTTGTTACTTCTTTCACTCTATCCACTCTACCTAAAATCTCTGCTTCTTCTCTTTGAAATCCTGAACAGCATCAATCACCTTGTCTTCTATCCTTCCATCACACTTTGGTTTTCTATCTTAGTACCTCTCAATGCCTGTTTCATGCTGTAGTTAATGGCCTGGGGAACTGATCTCTCTGAGAGCAGGTACTATATCTAATTCATTTTTGTAATGTCAGCATTTTACATAAATATGTACTAAAGACATTTTTGTAAATTACATAATTGTACACCTGAAACCTGTATAATTTTATTAACCAGTGTCACCCCAATCATTTCAATAAAAATATTTTTAATTAGAATAAATTTTTGTTGTACTTAAAATTCATCATGTCCTCAAAGGCCATCCCTTCCATGATACCTTCCTTAACCATTTCCATGTATAATTTCTTCATGTTAGGTTTCTTAAAAATAAGAACCATGTTGAGTTCATTTCTGAATTCTCAGTGCCTATTTGTTCTGTACATATTAAATGTATTTGTATTTATTGGATGAATGAGTAAGTTAGTGACTAAAAGAAAGCAGAGTAGGGAGAGGAAGAAAGAAGAAAAAAAAGGAAGAAGGAAGGTTAAATGATTTGAAAAAAAAAAAAAAGAAAGAAGGGAAGAAAATAGAAAAGAATGCTTACAGTGAAAGAGAGAGATAATTGTAACCTGGCATACTATAATGGAACAAGTGGAAATTTTTCCACTATAGAGATGCTAAAATTCAATCTTCAGACGTCAGCAGCATATGTTATGTTACAGTGGATTTACATTACCCTACCCAAGATCCATGACAAAACTCCAAGTTTTCTAGCATTGGTTGATAGCTTCATGGATAAAATAAAGACATCTGTTATGTGAAAATTGCCTCTAACGAGGGTTCATTGTGGCTACCTCATAGGAAATGGTGATAGCTCTTTCTCTGTAGTGAATGAAGATTTAAAATGGGATCCCATTTTATATGCTTTGATGAATGCTCTTCTGGGTTCTTTACATCAAGAAGCATCATGTAATATGTTAAAGTGAGGGCTCTAATTAGACAGACCTGACTTTTATCTTGAATCCATTGCTTACTAATCGTGTGACCCTGAACAAAGTTAAACAACATAAAGTTCCAGTTTCCTCATTTGTAAAATGAGATTATTATTAAGAATTGAGAGAACGCAGTAAAATACATTGAAAAGGCTCAACAATATGAACTGTTAGAAACAGACCAAATTTAATTAAAATAGACAAATCATTACCTAAATGAATGAGTTTTTTTATTTTTCCTTCTTTTTTTTCTTTTGTGCTGTAGAAGTCATTGTCATTACAACCAGAGATGTCCAAAAGGCTTTATCTGCAGAATTCAAGATGAAAATGAAGCTAGATATAGTGTGTATTCCTGATGAGGCTGACAAGGGAACTGCAGATTCTCTGCGCCACATATATCCAAAACTTAAGGTGAAAAACTATTTCTTGATTTTTATTGTTTATAAAAGGTAAATGTTATCTTATGTTTTTCCAGTGCTTTATAGTTTACAATGCTTTTTAAAATATATATTATTACATCACATACTTTGTTGTGCATGTACTCTTCAACTCTTTTTAGTTTAATTACTAAGTAAATATTTAGACATTTAGTCAGTCACTGGTTTCCAATATTTTAAGGTAATAGTACATCTTTATGAAAAATATATATATACTTCAAATTTACTTTAAAACATTCTATTTATATGAAATTAACGAATAAGCAAAATTATTAGATAGATTAACTGGAAAGAAGTACAAAGGAACTTTAAAAAATTGCAGATCCAGCCCTGGCTGGTTTGGCTCAGTGGATAGAGTGTCAGCCTTCGCACTGAAGGGTCCCAGGTTCAAATCTGGTCAAGGGCACATGCCCAAGTTGTGGGCTCGATCCCCAGTAGGGGGTATGCAAGAGGCAGCCAGTCAATGATTGCCTCTCATCATTGATGCTTCTATCACTCTCTACCTCTCCCTTCCTCTCTGAAATCAATAAAAATATATTTAATAAATAAATAAATTGCAGATCCCCTCACATGATAATATTTAAACTTTTAGTCTCCTTTGGTTAAGAAACTAACAAGGGCCCTAGTTGGTTTGGCTCAGTGGATAGAGCATCAGCCTGTGGACTAAAGAGTTTCGGGTTCAATTCTGGTCAAGGGCACATGCCCAGGTTGTAGGCTTGATCCCCAGTAGGGGGTGTGCAAGAGGCAGCCATTCAATGATTCTCTCTTATCATTGATGTTTCTATATTTCTCTCCCCTCTCCCTTCCTCTCTGAAATCAATAAAAATATATATATTTTTAAAAGAAACTAACAAGGGCATATGGAAATGAGTACACAGTCTCCCAGTAGCTGGTGGCCCACAAACTGAGAAAAAGCCATCATAAATTATTCTAAAATTGATATCCTTTTGAAAAAGTCTAGTCTGTGTGATAACGTTGACATCTTGTTTGAATTGGGGGGCAGACCTTCTTCTGCTATTTCTGGTGACTGCAAACAGATGTATTAATATGTTCAACCTACCTATGCATTGAAGAACAAAAATTTATGCAGAAATGTACATGGCCCTCCCTTCCCTTTGGGGGGGGGGGATAATTTACACACAGTAAAATACAGATATTAATGGGTTCAATGAGTTTTGAAAAATATATACATCCAATTTACCATTACCCAAATCTAGAACATTTCCTTCACCTCTGAAATTTCCTTTGTGTTTCTTTTTTTTTTTTTTTTTTTTTTTTAAATATATTTTATTGATTTTTTTACAGAGAGGAAGGGAGAGAGATAGAGAGTTAGAAACATCGATGAGAGAGAAACATCGATCAGCTGCCTCCTGCACACCCCCTACTGAGGATGTGCCTGCAACCAAGGTACATGCCCTTGACCGGAATCGAACCCGGGACCTTTCAGTCCGCAGGCCGACGCTCTATCCACTGAGCCAAACCGGTTCGGCTCCTTTGTGTTTCTTATTAGTCAGTCCCCCACCTATAGAGTCAACTGCTATTCTGATTTCTATCAGCATATCTTAATTTTGCTTATTTATGAACTAGATATAAATGGAATCATACAATTTTATTCTGGTTTATTTTGTTTAACATAATATTTTTCAGAAACATCAATGAGAGAGAATCATTGATCAACTGCCTCCTGCATGCCCCACACTGGGGATCAAGCCCACAATCCGGGCATGTGCCTCGACTGGGAATGGAACCCTGACTCCTGGTCCCATAGGTCGATGCTCTACCATTGAGTCACACTGGCCAGGCTAATTATATCTTCTTTTTTTTTTTTTTTTTTTTTTTTAATCATTTCAGAGAGGAAGGAAGGGAGAGAGAGAAATAGAAACATCAGTGATAAGAGAGAATCATTGACCAGCGGCCTCCTGCACACCCCTCACTGGGGATCTAGCCTTCAACCTGGGCATGTGCCCCCGACCGGATTCGAACCTGGGACCATTCAGTCCACAGGCAGATGCTCTATCCACTGAGCAAAACTGGCCAGGGCGATTATATCTTTTTTTTTTTAATATATTTTATTGATTTTTTACAGAGAGGAAGGGAGAGGGATAGAGAGCTAGAAACATCGATGAGAGAGAAACATCAATCAGCTGCCTCCTGCACACTCCCCACTGGGGATGTGCCCGCAACCAAGGTACATGCCCTTGACCGGAATCGAACCTGGGACCCTTGAGTCTGCAGGCTGACCCTTTATCCAGTAAGCCAAACCGGTTAGGGCGCGATTATATCTTTTTAGTCTCTTTTACTCTAAAACAGTCTCCCCTCCAACCACTTTTTTTCCTTATGCCACTTACTTTTCAAAGAAACCGATTATTTGTCCTGTAGAACATCCCACATCTTTGGTATGTCCAATTGCTTTCTACTGGTGTCATTTAACTTTTTTCTTTTTCCCAGATTAGATTCAATTTCAACTTTTTTGGGAATAATATTTCATATGTGTAATCTCTATTGTATTGTATCCAGATCTGAAATCAGACATTTCTTTAAAAAGCCCAAAGTTTCCTATGCACAGTTTTTTATATGTCAGTCATACTTCAGTAGTTTAACAAAGGACTTACTTTTTCCTTTGAGACAGCCCTCTTGTGAGCCATCCATTCTCTCTTCAAATCTCTCTACTGGTTGCTCTCTAGGCAGTTGCAGAGCTGTCATCCTGGGGCTTCTCTTTACCATCGTTCTGGGAATTCCCTTCTCCCTCCTGTGTTGGATGCCAGGTTCCCAGATCCCATGTTTTTCTCTTTCTTGGTTTACTTCCTCATTTCAAAGGAACCCAAACTTTATTGGCTTCTCAAAGAAAGAGCACAGAAGGTAAATATTTTGAGAACTTGCATGTTTGAGAATGTTTTATTCCATCCTTTTCTTGAATGACAACTTACCTTTGTATAGAATTCTAAATTAGAAGTAATGTTCTTCAGAATTTTGTGTCCCAAGCCCAGAGACAGACAAACCTTCTAGGTGACTCCCTGTGCTGTAGGTAGATTATTTTTTCTCTGAAGTTTACCCTTTCACTGAGGTCCCCTTTATGTAAGGTCTCAGTTCAAATTTCCTGCTTCGTATCAGCTTCAAGACACTTATTTTGACCCAATGAAGCCTTTAAAAGCCTCAGTTAAGCCCGGCTGGCATGGCTCAATGGTTGAGCATCAACATATGAACCAGGCGGTCACAGTTAAATTCCAAGTCAGGGTACATCCCCAGGTTGCAGGCTCAATCTGCAGTGTGGGACATGCAGGAGGCAGATGATCAATGATTCTCTCTCATCATTGAAGTTTCTATCTCTCTCTCCCTCTCTCTTCCTCTCTGAAATCAATAAAAACAAAACCAAGCAAAAAAAAAAAACCCTCAGTTAGGGTAGCCAATGTTTCAACTAAGTGTTCATTTCCTTCTTCAGTTCTGGTGCTTGGTATTTTCCTTTTCTTTCTTATAAGTTTGACTATATTTGCAGTAATGTCTTATCCAAAGTTTTTAGGTGGTCATAGCAGAATTTTTGGGTTCTTAGTTCACCAGTTTTCCAAAACCACAGGCCTACATGCTAGATACTTAATGTACATTATTTCATTTAATCCTCCAACTACACTCAGGTAGATACTATCTTTATCCACATTTTGCAGATGAGAAGGATAGGGCTCAGAGAGCTTGAGTAACTTGCCTAAAGTTCAGGTGGAAAGAAAGACTATGCATTAGATGCCAAAGTCTCAATAAATGCATTGAGTAATCAATGGATTACTAGAATAATGTCGGCAGGTACAGCCAGATGGCACATGTTTCAGGGGACATTGAATTTTTATCTGAGGTTAGGGGCATGCATGGTAAAGTTAGAATAGCCCTGTGTGCCCTCTAGAGGAGTATCAAGAAACACCGTTGGGACTGCTTCATAAATGTCACTTTCTGAGTCTTATAAGAAAGAATTGGAATTTGTGATGGTGGAGCAATTTGTAGGAATAGTTATTCCTAGTGTGAAGGGAATAGAATAGCTCCAGAAAAAAGCATAAAAATGACGGTAGGTCCTGTGCTTTAACAGTTGAAGAATTACTACAAAGCTGAGATATGAAGGGATATTTTTAGCTCCAAATTGTGTCATCTGAAGGCTTCAGTCAGTGTAAGCATAAACCTTTAAATAGGTCTGTATTTCTTTGAGATATATTGAAAAATAAAACATATCAATTAAATAACTTTATTGGTAGTCTTTTTGAGTGACAGCCTGAATTATATACATTTAATATACATTTTGATCTTTTATTGAGAGGTTGAACAATTTGGGGAAGAACAGAAAGGCAGATGAAAATGAAATTGAAAAGCATTAGAGACCTGCTTTGCAGTAATAGCTGATTATTCACACAAGATCTCTATCTATAGCCAGTTGAACACTTCTGAGGATACTTAAATTTGCAAAAGCTTCATAAATTAGTACATTTGAGAAATTAATGAATGTACTTCAGAACATTAGTTTCTGTTCTTAGATACTACCCTAAAGTAGGAAGTTAAGTTGTTAGCTGATTATGAGGATGTAAATTTTATTTTCCTTGGAGTTACCTGGAATGTTTGCTCCGAGGATCACAAGGGAGATTTTTCATATTTACTGTGTCTGGCTTTGTAGATTTTTTTTATCCCGGCAGCAACCTTAAAAGGTAGATGGTATTATTCTATTTTGCAGTTGAGAAACCTGACACTCATAGAGGTTAAATAACCTACCCCAAATTCCATACCTGGTTAGGTGTTGAGTCAGAGCTAGAATCCAGTCCTGGGTTGTGAGATGAATTTGTGCATCTCAAATGCCCATGGGTTTTTCACTCTATCATGTTGCCTCTAAAAGACAAGCATCAGTAATCCTTATAATCTATTCTAATTTTAGAACCTTGACTTTAAGAACAGGTATAATTGGTCTGGTCTAATATTTTAAAATTACTTTTTTCTTCTCTTTGTGAG